ATTTCCTTCCTCGTCGAAGCAGGCGACGAGTGGGAGGACCTGGAGGTGGTTATAGTGAAAAGAAAGGGCTTCTTCCCCCCAATGAAACGAGAGATGAAAGGACTCTGTAGAGTTCCATGCCCGCTGCGAGCGCTCGTGAGCGTGGTGTGTAGTGAATGTTCAGTCCCAGGAGACATAGTTGTACTCTTTTAAAGATTGTGGCCGGGCGCGGTGGTTCACGCCTGTAATCCCAGCACTTTGGGAGGCCGAGGCGGGCGAATCACCTGAGGTCAGGAGTTAGAGACCAGCCTGATCTACATGGTGAAACCCAGTCCCTAATAAAAATGTAAAAATTAGCCGGGCATGGTGGTGGGCGCCTGTAATCCCAGCTACTCAGGAGGCTGAGGCAGGAGAATCGCTTGAACTCGGGAGGCAGAGGTTGTAGTGAGCCGAGATCGCGCCACTGCACTCCAGCCTGGGCGACAGAGTGAGACTGTCTCAGTCAGTCAGTCAATCAAGATTGTTGCATCAGAGCCACATACCGCCTGCTTCTCCCTCTCCCGTCATTTATTTCTAAAAGGATCATACCTCGTTTGGAAGGTTTTATTGTGTGTGAAGCCAATGGACTTTCTTAAAGTTTCTAAAAAATGGATAAATAGGATTCCAAAGGAAATCCATTATGTTGAAATAGTTATCTATAAGTATAAACTCCGAAGACATGATATAGTAGTATATATACTTGCTTCTTAACAAGATCTTCTTAAACAAGATCTAGTGGCGAGACTAGTAGTAACTGCTGGGATTTCAAAGTAACAGTGAGCCTGAACATACCTTACATAGCTATAGGGTACAAATGAAGACATCTGTGGTCTCTGTGGTTGTTAAAGTTGCAGGTACTGCTAATGTTAGTTACTATGGTTTATTGCCTACAGTCATAATTGAAGAATATGCTGAATTTCAGTTACAGTGAAAATAAAGATGTACCTTTTTTGTTTCCTGAGTTATCTAGTAAGATATTCATGATCACTAGATCCTTGTTTCAGAGCAAGAATGACAAGATTCTTTTGACACCTAGATTAATCCGCTTTTAAAGAGCTCACGCAAAGGGCTTTTAGACGCCAATCTTCTAATCGTTTATGGCAGAGTTAAGGACAGCAATTGAATGTGATTGCTACTGCAAGGATTTTTACTTTCTAGAATTACTTTTAGTTAAAAGTTGTGGAGATGTATGCTGCATCACAACACTCAAGATCTTTGCCAATTTCTGGATTTATGTTAAGATTCATCAGTTTATCTCAGATATATTTTTAACACGTGTTTCAGAACTGTGGAACCTCTGGAGTATTACAGGAGATTTCTGGTGAGTAAAAAGTTATGTACATGTTTTGCCTTTTGATAACAATGGGCTGCTTTTAAAGATACATTTCAAGTAATTTAATCCATTTGAAGTAACATTTAATGTGTTTCCCCCGGTGTGTGTAAAACTTGTGATAGATGTGTAAAATATGTAATAGGTATAATCTATTTTTATATAAACATTTATTTAGAAAGAGAACTGCCGTCCTGATGGAAGAGAACTTGGTGAATTCAGAACCACAACTGTCAACATAGGTAAGGATGTATTTTCCATTTTCAACTGTATGATATTCCCAAGTTTTAGTCTCTGAACCACCTAAACAGTTTTTCAGCTAAATTCTTTGTCTAAAGAATTTGATGATTTTTTGTGTGAAGAGATTTTTATCTGTACAAAAGCCCTGTAACTGAATGAAAAATGATTAACACAAATTCAAGGACAGGTGAATAATTATTTAAACACTAATTTAAAATAGTTATGTAAAAATCAATTATTCTAACGAAATATTCATAAGCAACTGAGAGGGGTAGCAAGATAATCATACACAGCAAGCTAAAACACTTAATTTTAATGATTATGTAGATAATTTTGTAGCTGTTTTCCTTTCATGCACTTTTCACTTTGCTTATCTTTTCAGGTTCCATTAGTACCGCAGATGGTTCTGCTTTAGTGAAGTTGGGAAATACTACAGTGATCTGTGGAGTTAAAGCGGTAAATCTAAATATGTCCTATTGAGATGTGAGTTACAAAGTTAGCTTTATTTATTAGATTGTAATATACACCTATAATTCCACTCTTGATTTGGCAGTTGGGTGTCAGTTTTTAGTATTTAATTTCCCAAGAGCTTTCACTATGAGTGTTAAATAATATGACCCAAGTTTAATGACCGAACATTTGTCAAATGTACCAAAATGAAACAACTTTAAAAATCTTAGCCACCCTTAATTTTTAAAACATTTGGTTATATCATTTGAGAAATTAACAGATTTTTGGTGACATCCTTTTAGCCAGTGATGACATGTAATCTGTGTAAATGTGTGGAAAATTGAAATTGTTGAAAAGAAAAATTTGAGGGAATAATGGCTACCATTTACTGAGTACCTGCTATGTTCCAGACACCTTTTTAGGCACTTTACAGAATTATCCACTTTAATCCCTACAACAATCATTTGTTATTTTTCTCCACCTCCTGTTTTATAGATGAGGTTCAGTAACCTCTCCAGGTACATAAGACTCATAAGTAAAACTTGACACATAAATCTGACTCCAAAGCCTGTGCTTCTTTCACTACAATACACCCTGTGTTATTTAACACTTAGTTGAGATTCTTCTTTGGTAAACCTGGAGTGATATATAACAATACGATTTGAGAACTTGCTCCTTATCGGGTTTTATGCCTGGGATTTAACAGGTTTATCTCATTTGGCCCTTATTAACAGACCCTAGGAGTAGACACTATTTTCTTCCCATTTGACAGATGAGGAGTTTAAGGTTAGAGGTTAAATAACTTGCCTAAAGTTAGCCAGTAAATGTGGCTCTGACATTTGAACCGGCTTGCTAATTGCAGAGCGTTTGCTCTTTTTTTTTTTTTTTTTTGAAACGGAGTCTGGCTCTGTTGCTCAGGTTGGAGTGCAGTGGCAGGCTCTCGGCTCACTGCAACTTCTGCTTCCCGGGTTCCAAGTGATTCTCCTGCCTCAGCCTCCCAAGTAGCTGGGATTACAGGCGCCTGCCATCACGCCTGGCTAATTTTTGTGTTTTTAGTAGAGACGGGGTTTTGCCGTCTTGGCCAGGCTGGTCTCAAACTCCTGACCTC